TTTTTTTTTTCATGAGAAGTGAACAACTCCCGGGCTTCTCTGCAGTGGGAGTGTGATTCGGGGGCGCCAGCTTTTCGAATAAATCAAGTCTCGTCTCAAAATGTAACTTGTGAGTCCTACATCCATTTCTGGGATACAGTTAACCGGTATATCTCCTTTGAAAACGGCTCGTTGGTGGTTGTGTCAAGCAGACGCTGTCTCTGACCCAGTGGTCAAATTATATGGTCAGAATTTCTTCCAGGAAAGTTGTTAAAGGACACACTAGCCGAAATAAGCTGATCTGGGTGCAGCTATAATTGTTTATTAACACTGTGTGTGTGCAGTCCTAAGGTTATCTCCCCAACACGTATTAAATCAAAGTGCCTTTGCTCCTGATGCAGCAATATGTGCTTTGAAATTGAGATTCCTTGAGTTCACCCAGAAAGCTGGCACCAGTGATCTGACAGCTCCGTCAAAACCTGGAGCGGATCAGATGCCACATAAATGGGAGTCCGATTCCTTTACCCCTATTAGAAGAAGCATCAGCCTTTCAGAAGTGGCTCCAGTCAAGAACAGCTCTGCCCAAACCCAGCTCTCTCCTTTGTTTGTGTGGTTGCCCATTGCTTCCAGGAATCTCCTCCAGCCCTTTCTCGAAAGAGTGCAGTCATTCGATTCCAGCCAACACCGCTGTGCGTTTTGATCCAGGCTCCGCCTCCACATCCCAGCCAAGCCCTGATTGTCCATCCCCGTGGACTTGATTGTCCTTTGTGTTCGCAGTTTGTCACCGGTCTTCCTCATTGGTTCTGCTCTGGACTTGTGGCTCGAGAAAGTTTGCCTGGGTAGGAAGTGCACGAGGTGGCAGCGCAGTGCGTCAGAAATGAGCTTTAATTCAAGGGCCATTTTCCAGAGTGCCCATAAGAAGACACACAGAGTGCATCTTGCTGTAATGATCTACAGTTTATTCGGTGAGCTTCAGGAAGTTTTTGTAATCGGTAAAGTACAAGCCCAGGCCCTCTCTAGTAACGAATGAATGAAGGTTTAGATGTGATCATGGCATGTGCATTAAGACCTCTACAAGGATTTAGTCACACAGGGCTCGGTGCTTGTTGTTGACCTGGTTATCCCTGCTCTTTTAGCTTGGCCAGTGGCCGAATGGGACGCCCTGACAATGTGAGAAAGTTATTGCTGCCTTTCAGTTGTTCCTGAAATGTCACCTATGTCTGTCTCTCTGCAAAGAGCAAAGCTAGAGCAGATCAGGTTCGACACTCGCTGTGGAAAAGCCTCAGGGACGGATGGATTGAAGGACCGGTTGAGCCACGCAATGGACGAATGGATCGGTGCCTAGATGGGTTGAGGAGTGCACTGGTTGGCGAGGAATCGCATGCATACGAGTGTGTGATGTCTTTCTCCCCTCAGGGCCCCCACGTTGGAGACCTCGATGGCTGTCCCGGCGGAGTGAGGCCGGGCAGCGCAGGAGGGTGCAGAGTGGATGGTGGGGGGCGATGGAGCGATCGCCAGGGAGAACAGGAGGCTGGGCGTTTCTGATCCTGGTGAGGACAAAGGGGGTTGTGGCGTC